ACTATGCTAGTTGTGAGGCGAAGCCTGGTCACTACTATGATAGGCTGCTGAAGAAATGCATCAAATGTGCTGAGATTTGTGGCAAACATCCAGCAGAGTGCTCTCAGCACTGCTCCAGTGAGTACCCCTTCTGCACTGCTTTCAATTCTAAAAAAAAAAAAAGACCTGGCTTTCTGTTGAAACTCTCTTGTGTGACGTTTAGATTACCACAGGGGCCGGTCTGCCCAAATTTTTTAATGGAAAACCACCTAAACAGAGTTGTGCCGAAGCGTGTAAAACCGTGTAGGGCTGAGTAGATACTAATGGAAAACCCCTATAGGAGCCTCAGTAGATTGAATGAGTGTTGTTTTTTTGGGTACGAAAAAACCTCAGCCAGGTTTTAAAATAAGGTTAAAAAAAACTTAGCTGAGAAAGGACAAACTACGTCACCATTTCACAGTAATGGAAACAATGACTGAAAAACTAAGCGTGCTTCCATATCTATAAAAATTAGGCGCTGTTAATCAAATGTAGGCCATCAACTGATCATCAGTAAGTGTGAATACATCTATAAAATCTGGGGATATGACAGTTTGCTCATCTTGAACATCCAGGTTTATGTTAACACAATGCAAAGAATGAAATATATCGGCTATCACACATAAGTATTTAGAGTCAGATGTTTGGTCATCTGTCATTCAGGAAAATCTTGCTTGGAACTGGGTGATACAACAGGAAAACAGTCCCATTCCCATGAAAAATTCTACAGCAGTTGGAGAATTCAAAATTATCTTTAGAGACCTGGGGGAAAAAATGTCAGTAAACTTGTCAGTTTACTTTGTTGCGAGTCTGATGATGCCAGACAAACTATGATGTATTAAAGTTGTTGCTTGTAAAGGTAGCTCTACAAACGGCCCAACCATGACGTGGACTTTTCTACAAACTGTTTCTGTATTCTGGTTTACCTTTTGCACATCATTGATAACAGGTTTTGCATCCTAAGCTGTGTTCAACTCTGTAGTTTTTGTTATATCTTAATATATACCCCTAGAGTTGCATGAAGGTCTTTATGATACTACCGGGATATGTTTGCAAACTGATCTTTAACTGGATTAAGCTAAAAGGCTAATCTATGGACTTAAGTCTAACAAAGGTTGTACAAGTCTGATATCAAAAGATCTGTTTCAGAGACATTGTTTTAACTTACCCCACTAGCTCTGCCACCTCCCGTGACCACCAAGATGCTCCTCACTGAAGTCCCTAAAAAGGACCCAAACTCAAGGGTGCTCCTCACAAAGACGGATGACTTCTCCATCCTGCTGTACTCCCTCCTGGCCGTGAGCATGTTGTTGGTGTTTATCAGCCTCGCTCTGGCTTTGGTAGCCTTCCTGAAGGGACGCAGGGCCAAACTCAGATCTACAGAACCCATGGAAGCCCCCCAAAACAGGCCGAATTGTGTGGTCCAGCCAATAACAAAGCTTGACATCCCTGTCGGCCTGGCAACGATGAGCCCAAACGGTTTGTGTGGAATCGATTTTTACCAAAGGCCTCGATTGAGACGATCATTCTATTTCATCAGAATAAGATTTTCTGATATATATTCTCTTTACGTTGGCTTAATTTTCTGTCTGCTGCATCTCTGCTTGCAGATATTCAAACAAGTCCTGGATCGCCCCCCAACTGTGAGCAACCAGATGACTCCAGCCCAACAGAGACCTGCGTGTGTGTTCACTGTTTCCCTGATCTGAGAACTCTTGGTCAGGACAGCCAAAGGCCACTGAGAGGACCTTACTCCTTCTACCAGCAGGCTGTGCTTCACAAAGCCAACATCCCAAAAAGCGAACCGGTCTGCACTGAGGAGACCATCCAAAGTTCTGGCCTGAGGGTTCAGGAGGAAGCATATGGACACCATAAAAACATCTAACTGGACAAGGGTAACGGAAAACTGTGCCCCTGAAGCACCCGCTTCATTTAAATCAATTAACTCTCTTTTTCACTTTTTTTTAGTTTATTAATAATCAAGTTAACAGCAGAATGCCTATCTTTAAGACATCAATTTAGAGCCATTTCACCACGGCTGGACTCCAATTCTGAACGGAAATCTGTAATATAGCTTTAAGATACCACAGCGATTAGAATTTAGAGACAAATTACACAAAAAAGAACACTGAAGTGCGCACATTGTAAATAGACCAAGAATTCACACTAACAGACACCAAGACGACCTCAGACTACCAACCAGCAAATCAATGGGAAAATGCATGACCGGCACTTTTACATGCTTAGAATCTTTAGTTTTCGTTTAAGTCATGTCCAAAGGTGTTATTCTGAGTTGTACAATCCCCATCTTCTGATTTTTTTAGTTAAATTCTACAACATTTATTGGTTGTTATTGATCGTAGACATCCATGCGTATGCTCTCACCCAGAAAAGCAATATTTCTTAACCTTTAAAGAAATATAAGAATACCCAACAACGCGGTGACTTTTAGTTTATATTACCACATACTAGACCGCCACAAAAGCTCTGGCTTTTTTGAGTGAAATGCAGATTTCTAAAACACGTTTCAGTGCTGAAACTATTAAATGGGTTATAATGGATAACCATGGCGACAGGACAGCCGTGACTGAGCTCTGCCAAATCCACATAATACCTGCAATAAGACCCCAAATCGAGATGAGTTGAAGAAGACGCGCCTGGAATGGAGGAGAACAGGAATAAAATAAACAAAACAAACAAAAAAAAAACAGGAGGGGGTTAAAACCAATTCCACCTGGTTTGATAATAGGGGGCGTGAGGCCGAGGCAGATAAAATGGAAAAGATTGGACACAACAGGAATGTGAACGAGGCAATATTGTTCATTTTTACACTGAGGACCCAGATTTGAAATCGTATCCATGTTGCCTATCGAGACAGTTCATCCGTGTTAGCAGCCACTGTTGCATGTGCGTTTATCACCTAACTTATTGCCAAGCTATTAAAACGACATCCCAACCCATTGATGTCGACCTCTGATGGTTTCCCCCCCTCCATCCTGTCTCACACCGTTAGAGGTTTCTTTACGCTTATCGATTGGAATTTGGTTCTCTCTATAACAAAAACCTATCTTTAAAAATTAAATAATACTGCAGCAATACAATTTCTCTCAAGGGATTCATTACATAATTGAAATCTAGAGGGCCTACATCTACTCTCTATCATACACACATTCTTACTTTTGATTTTTTTCTCGTGTTGCCTCTGATTCCTGACAGTTCAAAACCTATTCAATAGTTCAAAGGGAAAAAAACAACAGCAAAGATCGACACTGGACCAAAAGCATGCGATTGCCTTGTTAAGTCGAAGCTTGGCTCATCAAACCCCACTTCAGATCACTTGTTTTTTTCTCCCCAGAGGAGAAAGGAGCAAAGCATGCGGCGAATGCCTTAATCGAGTTTTAATACTTGCAATGCTAACTTAAGAGGAAAAACATGGAAAGGTCAAAACCACATGCGGTGTATTGTTTTTAGGAAACGATGGGCCGCGGTGGAAGCGTGGCTCCGGGGTGATCTTCCCAATCTGCCACCTGCGGCTGCAGACATCGGCTTTCTTAAAAAATAATCAGTGTGGTGTCAGCACGAGCTCGTTCAGAGTCAATATGGTAACTGACAAGATTCAGAGTCCCTCCATACATTTCACCGAACATCCCCTGGGGGGTGGGATGTGTGTATGCAGTGCTCATTAAGGGCCTCTTTCCAGCCAAAATGTTATGTGTGGTACTGCTCTTGTTTGGTCTTAACTGTTAGGAATGATGCAAATAAAGAAAGTTAATGATAAAACTGCAAAGCTCTGAGGTGATGCGTCGATTTGTAAAACAGAGTTGTGATGAACTTCAGTGGCGAAAGCAATTAAGAGATTATTGAATCAAATTGTACCTGACATGGGAATAAAAAGATTTACCATGAAGCGCAGGCTCCACCTGGTGGCTGTGTAGGGATGCACTTTGGGACTCACATTCAACCCCAAGCTGAAAACTTGTTTGAAGAATTTTCAACCAAGTTATTGTTTTAATTAAGTTGACTAATGACAGACGGGAAGGGCAGGTGTCCAGTGACTTGATTTAAAAACTCTTTATAGTCATATTTCATGCATTTTTTAACAATTGAGAGCTAGCAGCTGTTAGAGTGTGAAGAGTAGAGCATTTCTGTGGGTTTTTCGATCACTCGGTAGGGCAGTGATTTGATTCCTGTTTCCACAGAGCACTCGTCAAAGAGCTTTCTGGTAAGAACTTACAGCCTCCAAAACATCAATTAATGTGTTTATTGCAGTACTGCTGCAAGCAAGTGTGTGTTACTAGATTAGTAGTCTGTCTACTAACCGACTAGTCTTACAGTACTAGTCTTAAAAGGCTTTTTGAATGGTGAGCACACAAAACATCTTTTGGGAGATTCATTCAAGCCACCATCTCTATGTTCGCTCTGTTTGAGGAAAGCTCTATTTGTCACCCCCCCACTGTTACCAGTTAACCAGCAGGTCGATTTAAATCCCATCCGTCCGTCAGTCAGGAAAAAAACAGAATCAAAGGATCTGGAAGTGTGGCCTGTGAAGGACGTGAAAAGAATAAAGAGAGGCAAAGTGTTTACAGATATAGGTAGTTTTGTTTTTTTCCTTTATTCGAGCGTGTGTTTCCATCACCGTGTCCAGTTCTTGCAGCGTTAACGACTGTGTCCGAGGAATGACTGAGCGGCGGCGGCGGCAGGCGGCCCAGCAGCTGGACAGCAGCACAGGAGGAGGACACACTCCGGTCCGAGCTGCGGCCGCCCGCATCGCACGCACAAACTGTACACGTACACTTTACATATGTCATCAACATGTGGGAAGAGAAAAAAAAAAAAGGAAAAAAAAAAAAAATCCTCCAAACTGTGATACCCAGCTCAGACGGCATGCTGAATGCAAGTACTGATTCAGTACACAAACACACAATGCATACGCACGTGCGTGACACACGTGCATACAAAGAGGAACGCGCGCAAGTAACTTCTTTTTTTCTTTTTTTTTTACAAAAACACACCAACTGAGATTTTGTCTCATTTTTCTTCCTCTTTCTCAGGCCGTACACGTGCACACACACACACACACACCCACGCACGGATCAATTAGAGCGACATGTGATCGACATAACACTGCAGGACTGAACTTCTGACCCATTATGTACACTCTGTACTCTGATTTCTTCTTTGTTTTCACCCTCTCCTTTCTTGTGTCTTCTTTTTTTTTTTCTAACTGTTTACCTGAAACAGCGTGGTGACAATGTGTCTACAATGTGGCGGGGATTCCTCAGGGAAACTTAAAAAAAAATGGACAGAATCCATAGCAGCAGTTTCACAAAACTTATCAGCATTGTTTTGCTTTTTTTTTTTTTTACGTGTGTGTACAAAAAAGGAAACAAAGAAGAAAAAAAAACGATTTGACGGCACAACGTAACAAAAGACGAAAAACGTGAGAGTTTAAGGAGGAGAAAAGAAAAGAAAAAAAAAAGAAAAACGTAAACAGACCTTTTAATAGCAAGATGTATAAAAATATAATATTCACTGTGAATCTATTTCCTGTCTTCGACTTTTGGAAGCTGAGAGAGAGAGAGAGAGGTGGGGAACAACACAGCCTCAACTGGAGAAACTTTTCTGGAAGTATCTGCTGTGTGTGACGACTACCAACTAATGACTAATTAATAGAATCATTCTCCAGAATACTGTTGGTCTGGCAGTCGTTTTTTTCCCCAGCACAGTTTCATGCTCAACAGAAAGAAAAGTCAAAAGTACGCAGGAAAACTTTCATTCTGGGAATTTTTTGTTTTGGTGCAGAAACATGTGCTCGGGTCCAGAGGGTTGTCAGTTTGAGTCTTTGCAGACACGGTGGGGTGAGGGGGGGGGGCTGCGGCTCCACTTATTTGCATTTGTGGATGTTAACGTGCTGAGCTGGACGAGCATGGAGCCAGACGTGGGCGAACGCCAGCATTTGGGATCAAATAAAACCTCCCCGGCTCGTATGTCTTTGCCCGATGAAAGGAATGAAAAAAATCATAAAAAAACGGCAGCGTGGGACTCTATTCCTCCATTTTGTGAAAGCGAGTGCAGAATATCACAGCTTCTTCTTTCTTCATGCCCTGAATTCCAGTGAGATATCGGCGTGTATGCGAATCTCCCCTCTGCGTGAGGAGTTTTTGGAGTGGGTTCGTGTGTTTTGCTTTTTCCTGGATCTGTTTTTTTAGCAGTGTGAGGGGATTTCCATGTACGAGTGAGAGCTGCAGAGTGAGCAGGCTCTCACTCTTCACCTTTTTCCCCCTTGGTGCGGCCATTTCTTGCATCCTCCACGAGCTCCACCCTCGGACTACTCGTACTCCAGGAACTGTTTGTGGTAGAACAGGAGGTACCTGTGGGGATGAGAGCGGCGTGGGGTCAGAGCGCTGCCCGGCGGTTCGGTCAGCGGGCGGCTCAAAGTGTTGCCCTGTGCTCACCCTTCGCTGTCCAGCACGTCTTTGATGCTGGCCTTGGTGATGATGGCGTCGTCGCACTTGAACCACTGGTCCTTGTGCTGCCGGATAAAGGTGGTGTAGTGGCCGCTCTCTAGCGTCCCCTGGTGGTTAACCACCGCAAACAAACTGTACCTGGAAAAGAAAAGGAGAAAGACAGCACTTAATAGAGTTTCAAAAAACATAGATAAATAAAATAATTAATTTGAATTATAGGGATCTCTGATCAAGGACTGTGGCTTTGAAAGCTAAGCTTTCCAATTAAAATATAATGTGATGACAGTGATGTCAATGTATAAACCTTCATTTGGGAGGATCACGGTTTTAAAAAAAAACTAAAAATCCCTTTTTTTCAAATATTTTTTTTACTTTCTTAAATTGACTTCAATATCTTTTTAAATATTAATTTACAAAAAATAATTGATTGTTGGTCTGTAAACCAACTGTTTATAAACAGCTGAATATGCATATATAAAGAGTATATAGGTGTAGGAAGACACTGAAGACCAACTGTAGATAGGTAACGGTGCCAAGGTTTGATATAACTGCAGGATTTAACTAAATATTAGGGGGAAAAAAGGTTCAAACACCATGAAAAAAAATTAGAAGTATGATGTAGCACAATAGATATAACTATCACATTTGATTGGTCAGTGGAGACACTGAAACTTCCTTTTGTGTTCAGTATATTTTTCATAATAACTGGCAGAGCGATGTAAACTGGTTACTTCTGGTGCTTCTAGATCATTTGGACTCTGTGCTGATTCAGAACTTTGCTTTGCGTGGTCTTACTTATTGTCGTTGTTGAATGGGTCCACGGTCTGCTGGTACTGCCCGTTCATCCGGCTTTCTTTACTGGAAAACACAGCAGAATGAATCAGGCAGTTTCACCAACTGCCCTCTTTTTTTTTCTGTGGACGCCTTTCAAAATAGCTTGCTCGTCTTTTATGCCCGTTTTCGGTTTTTGCCCCACACAAACTCTGCTGTCTCCTTCGAAATTCAAAAAGAAATTTGAAAAGTTCTAAATGGGGAAAATGAAGCACCCTTTAATTTGAGATGGCCATATTTCGGTATGTCGCTTGGATAAGGCGAGGCCAGCACGGTTTTGTTATTCAGGCGATGCACAACAGAGAGAGCTTTAAAACAGCAAAAACAGGTTCCTTTTACAGCAGTTTTCATTAAAGATATAATTTTCATGGCAGAGGAATGTGCAATGTGATACGCAATGTGTTTCTTACTAAAACGCCATATGCAGCGGCTTTGGTCGCTTAGCCTGCCTCTAAAGCTAGTTTCAGGGAGCCCTGACCAATGAGAAGAGTGGGGTATGGACACACTACAATACCTGCTAGAGAAACACTGAAAGTTAGGAATTCAGTTCTAAAGACCAACTAAATAATTCAGGTCCATATGTGACGTGTACTTTTGAAGAACTGGACTGTGTTGCTATAGTCTGCCCCTCTACTCTGAGAGGCTATAGATTTTTTGTTTTTGTTTCTTTTTGTTTGACCCATTCAAATCTGTCTGGATTCTGGTCACCTCGAGGCCATGAAGGGGGTCATGTCCAGCTCCAGCGGAAAGGAGACGTACGTTGTGATCTTCCGCCGTAGTTTGGCCGAGTGCTCAAACCTCTGACAACAAATGCACACAAGACGGTGTGAGACCTCTGCGCCGGCCACCGGTGTCCCCCCCGGGGGGGGGGGCGCGGCTCCGTTCTCTTACTTTAAGGTGAAAGCAGGCCACGATGGGCAGTTTCTTCATGGTCAGCTGCTTGGTGGACTCCTGGTAACTATGGCAACCGCTGCATTTGATCTTGGCGCTGCTGCCGAGGTGCTCTGGTCTGGTGAACCTGGGGGGGGGGGGGGGATTTGAGACAGTGAGAACCTCTATTCTCAATCCTCCCATCAGGAGTCGACCCTGGACAGCTTGGATCAGACTTTGGATTAATGGACTCATGCTTAGGGAGGAAAGCAGACACAGCTTATCTCCCCTAGCATTTTTCTTCCCATACATCAAACTGTGGTTTACGGCTTTATTTTTTGGGGGCCGTCTCACCTTCGCAGGCAGTCTGTGAGTGTCGTGGCTCCGGAGGTGTGACTCTCCCCGTTGAGCGCCGATAATTCCCCTCCGGGGCTGAGGGGCCAGAAGGGTGTGGAGGAGCCCGGTAGGTCCAGGCTGATGTCCCAGAAAGGGTCTATGGTTGTTGACACACCGCTAAGGAGGAGAAAAGAGTACGTGTGGAATGAGGGAGGGAAAACACAGCACAGTTTGTATCCAGATTCCAACTGAGATGAAATCTGCCGTCTTCTTTTTTTTACTTTGACCCATGGCTATATATCATAATAAAATAACACAATGTATAATTAAACAAAAAACATCCCTCTGGCAGTAAGATTTCCTCCTGAAGTGGAACTTTCCTCTCTGAGACGTGATGGCGGTATGCAGTTTGATTGGTTTTTTTGTTAGACTGCTGCGTTTAATGCTCTAAGGTCTCATTCTGAGATGACATTAAAGCCTTCCTCGACAGCACGCTTCAAATCTCTTGTTATGAAGTAATTGATCATTCTCTGCTCATTTTGCAGCCATCGCTCGCCATCACAGCTCTTTTGTAGCTGATGTGAATCAGACGCTGGTGAAAGATCTTTGATGTGTAAGGACACGTTTATCCATTCAAAGCAAGTCTGCTTGACCGTTTCTACCCGATTTTAGAAAAAAAGGGGGATTTAATTCTGTTTAAAAAGTACACCGTGTCAGTTTTTTCTGTTTTTAATCGATTTTTTCTTATTTTCTTTCTTTCTTTTCTTCTTCTCTGTACATGAATGCAAATTAACACAAAGATTATTCACACAATCAAGAAATTTATTGCTGACCTGGAGAAGGCAACACACAGCCGAAATTGTCACAGAGAAGAAGAGGAAGTATGAATCATGTACAAACACAGAAGAAGGCAAAGAGAATAACTGGGAAACCCTCACTGATTTTATAGTAAGGCCTAATATAAGCTGCCAAGCAGGCAGAGGTTTTCCCGTATGTACCACAATGTTTTGCACCAGGTAAAAAAGTAAATAAAAAGGCCACCTGTAGAGCATGTCAAGTGAAAATATCTGAATATATCTGGATTCCCTGAAGTTAGAAAAGAATATTCCCTAAAGCATCAGTAATTTCAAGAAGCCAGCAGGTGGAGCCAAAGAACAAAATCCCAGCCTGTGTGGCAGGACTGCTGCAGTGAAGCATCTGTGCGTGAGTGTGTGTGTGTGTGTGTGTGTGGCATGTGAAAGAAGGGGAAGATGGGTTTGAACGGTTTACAAAGTCACAGTTTTGTTCTGTCAGACCCACCTATTTATGCAGTCTCTAGTGAGGCATTCACAGCGTTTTTGTTTTTTCACCCACACACACACCAAACACACACACTTACTGGCAGACTTGGCAGGTGACGTCAGACTGCAGGCCCCCTGTGAAGATTTGGTCGATGATGCAGTTACAGTGGTTTGGGTTGTTGGCTTTCTTCCCGTTGTCGTCTGCGTGGCCACACACAGACACACACAGACAGACAGACGTACAGTGTCAGTAAAAAGCTTCCTCCTGTAACTTTACAGCCACCCACTCCGCCTTGGAACTGAGACAGAGCGATTCCAGCGAGTCTGAGTCGTCTAAGTGAGCTCATATATATTTTTTCCTTATCTATTCCGAGGAGCACCCCCGCTGTTGTGTTCTTTTGCAGCCTGAGTCCTCAGCGTGTGCGTTTTTACCCTTGCAGTGTCTGTGCAGGACGTCCAGCGCGGCGATGAGGAACTCGTGGGCGTCCTGCTGCTCGTAGCCGGCCAGGTGGCGGGCGTGGGTCCACACTAGGTGGAGGAGGCGGAAGGGGATGTGGGGCGAGCGGTGGCCTGAGTAGAACTGGAAAAACCAGACGAAAACACAGAGAAGGGAGTGTGCGTCAGGCAGGTGGCGACAGAGAAACGGGGGGCCCCCTGTTTTGGGCGAGGGAGTCACCTCCTGGAACAGCTGCGACATCTCGCACACCAGGCAGGAGTTGCTCTGCATTTCACATTTGTGCCGGTCAGACAGGAAGAAGTCGCGTAGCAGCGGGGTGTGCGTCAGCGCCTGGACGATGCAGTTCATAAAGCACGTGTTGCCCAGGTTTATCAGCCCACGCAGGCCTGAAAAAGGGAGGGGGACAATTAAGACAATTAAGTCAAAGAAAACACAAACGTGCAAAAAAAAAGGGCAATCAGTCCTCATTAATCAGGCCTCTTTGCTCCGAGTGAATCAAAACCCCCTAAAAAACTAACATTAAAGTCATCAAATGCCAGTGTTCCTGTCCTGATTTATACATCAGTCATTGTTTGGTATTGCCCAACGGTCCACCTTTTAAGAAACCGTCAAAATCACCAAAACAGCGATCGACTCCGGCGAGTGTGTGTCTGTGTGGGGGACAAACCGATTGTGCAGTTGGAGGTGATTCTCCTCCTTTTGGGATTGTGGCGAAGCAGCTCCAGCTCCCTCTTTGTGGGCTCCCACGTCGAGTATTTTTCCCCTATGCCTAACACAGAAATGAAAAGGTTATCTGAACTGCATATTTTCCCCATTTAAGGCAAAAAAAAAAAGAAGGAAAAAAAAGGCCATCTTTGTGACTATTCTCATTATATTATGTGCAAGTCTTATTATGCACACAAACTGGCAAGTATATAGGCAGGATGTATAAACCTGGAAATCAGCTAAAATGGAAAGAATACAAAAACAAAAGAGGACTGGACATGGACGTATTTGAGTCGATCGCTTCTGTTCCTTCTTCTCATTTTTGTGCCATACAAAAACAAAAAAATTCTACTGAAGTTGTTCAGATTAACTGCTTGATACAAACACATCCTCTATGCAGGTGACTCATGACAGTATTTGCATTCTTCTCTGGCTAAAGTGAGAGAGGAACAAAGTTCTTTCAGAAATGTGTGGAGTTTAACTGTTTCACAAAAATGAAAAAAAGGCACAGCCATCTAATGAGGGCAAAAGAAAAAGTGTTTGTACACTTCTTTGCTTGTATAATTGTCTGTCAGGCCTTAGCTGTGACGTGACACATGAAAGCCTGCGCCGAGAGCGGGAAAACGGTTGTGTAAATCCCACTCGTTATCAAAGGGAGGCCTGACTGGGTGTTATAACTGTGCTTGCTCTGCGTTTCCCTTACCTTGCAGCTTCCAGGCCTTCCTTTGCTCCTCTTTGGCAATCTGCTCCATCTCTTTGTCATAAATGTAGTCTTGGCACATAAAGCAGTAAATTCCGCCGTACAGCAGGTCGATTGCTGGACAAACAGAAAAGAAAAAAAAGGGGTTTGGAAGGGGAAACGTTTAGATAGATCAGTACGGGAACTTGCTTTCTTATTCGTGTGATGAGTTGATCGGTTTATTTGACAGTCAGAGGGCTGTGAAAGGGCTGCGTTGATGCAGTTGGGGGCTGAACTGCTGACAGGCTTGTTGCCACTCTGCTACAGGACAAATCAATCTCTGTACAATGTAGCAGAACAACAGAGGACAGAACCATCTACGATACCTCACTACTGGGCCTGCACACTTGTTAGAAGACGTTCTTCCACTCCCTCCTCTTCCCTGCTCATCACCTGCTCCGTACCCCCACAGCTACCTGTTTGATGTTGCTATAACAACCTGACTGCAGGCCTCTAATGGCTGTCATACTCTGCAGGTACAGAGGAGATGAAGAAAAAAATAAAAGGGAGAAATGTTGGAGGGGAGAATTTCCCTTAATCCGATGAGCGGTGAAGGGAGATGCGTCGAAATGCGGCACGACGACAGGTCTCAATTAAAGGACACCCCTCCCAGTTCTGAATATCGGAAGGGTCATCAGGTAACCATGGGAACAAGAGGAGGGCGAGAAAGGATAGAGAGGGAGATGAGCCCATATGAGACGGCAAACAGAATGCGGCAAATGGCAAAGAGAAAAATGCGGAAAAAACGGGTGGGAGTGTGTGAAGGTAGAGAAAAAAAAAAAGAGAAAAAAAAAAAGAATCTGGGAGGAGAAACAGGAGGTTTATCTAATGAAGGCAGATTCCACAGGGTTTGCCAGCGAAGGCTTAATTACCTACTCTTCACCAGTCTGCAGAGATCTGTCCTTTTTTAGAAGATTCTCTCCGTCTGTTTCTGACAGATTCTTCCGGCTTTTACTGCATTCATCTCAGCTCACAAACACACTCTGTTGGTAATCCACGTCTCCACTGACGGAAAAGACTCCATGCCTTCTCAAAACCATCAAGCTAGACCCTAGAAGCCCGTCTTAATCCTCTAAAATTACTCTGTGCCTGTTTAAACGGCAGTTGGGCCCATTTAGGTTTCGTTTCCTTGTTTGGGAAGCTCCATCGAACTAAGCGGGGACTTTCCAACTTTTCCAGAACTTTGCTCTCTTGAATCCTCCAGAGTCCTACACCTGCAGCTCCAAGGTGTCCGATCCCATTGTGTGATCCTTCTTCTTCTATTTTTCTTTTTTTTTTCTTAAACCTACATTTTGAATCTTGTTTAGAAATGCTCGATACAATCAAATGCTTGTGCAAAGGTCTCTGTATAGGACGATGCGTTCAAAATCAAGCAAAGATTCGATCCAAAAGCCGCTGACAAAATAAAAAAAAACAAATAAAATCAGTAACTATAACAATTTCCTTTAACAATTTGTGCATATTCTTTTAGCTTTTTGAGCATCTGGCTCTTTATATGACATAACTTTTTTTCTTTATCACTCCTATACAGAACATGGAAAGTCAATACTGTAGTTTCTTTTCTCTCCCTGCTTTTACAAGAGCTTAGCTTCTTTGACTCTTCTTCTTTCCCCGTTTCTTTTGTTGACCCATTTCTCCTTTCAGACACTTTGATTTGGGTTATTCTTCTTGACGCTTCGACTTCTGCTTTGGTCAGTCAATCCCCGCTCATTCCTTCTGCTTTGGTTAGCCTGCATGCTCCCCTTTTACCACCTTCCCATTCCGATGGTACTTGTTCTAACTTTGCGACGCTGCTGACTGGAAACAACAAACATTCTTTATCTTCTTTGAGTACTTTACAACTGAAACAGACTTTTTTTCTGTTGCTTTAAGTGGCAGATTAATAGGAATATCCTCACATATAGAATTACTAGAATTGGGTTGTTTTACTTTTTTTCTAATTAAAAACTTTGGATTTATCTATTTTTTTAAATATATATTACTTTCTCTGAAACAGAGCAGTAAAAACTGTGCAGCCAGATCATCTTCCAGCTCCTGATATGAAGCTGCAAAGACGGGTAGAAGCAAAAAACAGAGGGCCAGGCTCCTGTCAAAAGTAGACAAGTTTGAGCAGCAGGCTGCTTAACTACTGACGTGTTGACCAACAAATGAATATGTCAACCGCGCGGGACTGCTTCTGGTGTTCAGAAAACACCGGGCGTCTTTATCCAGACCTGGAGAAATCCAGGCTGTGTCTGTTTGACGCAAATATTTAACTTGGTGAGCGAAATTAAATCTTTCCCTATTTGCTCTAAAACTTTGCCAACCATGCAGAAAAACAAACAAACATGTGAGCTGGGCCCCTCAAACAGAGCGGCTGGCTCAGTCATCAAAAACAGAGAGACTCGTGGGTATTTGAAGAACCAACATTTTCCATTTTAAACCGTTGGTGACGAGAGCAAACCAGACTGGGACCAAATTAACAAGCGAAAAGTGCTAAATCTCGCTCTGTGACTGGGGCTTACCTCGGCTTACTAATGTATTTAAGGCCTCTAATGGCCAGCATGAGGCCAAATACATGTGACATTCAAGTCTCTCGGAGGCCAGGCTTCTGGAAATGTGCTTTTAATTGGGTTACGCTGGCCTGTAGAACAGCTCGGAGCTGTTGGAACCTAAGTGCTCGATAACCACAAGTGGCATGAATAACTCTTTTTTTCACATTTCATGGGAGACGTTTTACTGGCAGCGCTGTGAAAAACTCTTTTTGCCCTTTAAGTAGTGCCAGGAAAACAGGAAAATGGGTGCACTGATTTAACTAAAGCATGCAAACATAAGAGGAAATCCAGGCGAGCTTGAAGGACAACCCAGAAGCTCCTCTTAGGATACGGGCTGCCTGTTGTTTCCTCCCTGTCAGCTCATCGATCCCGCCCTGTTCAATAACCTCCAGGTCCGGGTCCTGATGCATCCCTCCGTCAGAGCGTTTCTACTGATTTTCAGTTTTCCAGGCTGCTTTACACCTCCGGGTAACAGCGCACAGACAGACGGATCCAGCTCCTCCATCGCGATGAAAACATTTGTTCCCTCTCCCTTTACAACAGCTCACCTCTGCGTAACAGACGGTCCCAGTTCCTGCTCCTCCGTTTCTGTGCCGTCAATACCTTGTTGAGGGTTATTTACACCCTCTGTTTCAGTGCGCTGAGGGGCTTGCAGAAAATGTTATTCTTCCAAGTTAAAAACTGTGAATCTACAGATTCGACTTATCTAACAATATTGCTAAATACTAAAAATGTACATTAAAAAAGAGTAATCTCAAACAAACAACTCAGAATTGCTTGCTCATTTTAATCTATTCTAATGGTATTTCTGCTATTTTTCATCTGGATAAAATATAAGTTGAGGTAAACATGTATTGATCTAGTTCTCTCTTTTCACTTGTTTGTACTGGCTGTTTTTTCCACTTCACCCTTTATACAAGTAGGAGAGTTTACAAAAGACTCAGAAGTGTTCTCGTCACGGCTGTAGAACACCAAGCTAGCAGACTGTGCCCTACAGAACTCAACGAGGCTTTTGAAGGCCTTTTTAAGATTTCTGCTGATGTAACTGAAGAAATAAAACACATTTGAAAAATATATAACTTCTGGCTACTTCTGAAAAATTTCTTTTCAATATTCCCTTTCTAAATGAAGCACAGTTCTGGACCTTTGCAGCAGTACTAGAACCCGACAGCTCTGGATTCTTGGCGTTACATCGTGGGGATACGAGGAGCTTCTGATTAAGCTCGCATCTTAGCGCACGGAGTCGGTGAGCGTGTGCGTCATACCCAGGTTGTGCCTCTTGCTCTTGGCATGCTCGTGGATATGCTTTTTGGCAAAGCAGGCGAAGAAGACGCAGTAGAGGCAGGAGTGGAGCCGGTTGAGGTGGGCGCCACACATGTGACAGATACATGACTTGGCCTGAAAGAGAAGGGGATAAAGAAGGGAGAGAGACAGGAGAAACCTAGTTAATTGTTGCTCGTACACAGGATGACCCGTCCTTTTTCTTTGCCAGTCTGTATTGTGCACAGACACAATAACACAGAAATAACCGAAACAAACCATTTGTCATATAAAGATCACTCTATTCCACACTTATACATTCTGATGTACTGGCAGAGCTTTCTGTTGGAATCTAATAGACTTATTTCCCGCTGATGATTAGAGTGAAGACCTTTTTCCTCTCTAGGATGCACAGAGGTTTGGAGAGCTCACAGAGATGGAACATAATCACCAGCTAGCAGCCAACAGTAAACATATAATTAGTCATTTTCTGGGCTCAATAGAGCAGTGAAGGAGGCACGTTGTGACGCTCCGACATGGTACTGAAGTTACTGAATGCGACGGAGGAAAACAACCACGCAGGAACTGATTGAAGGAAAGAAAAAAACAGAAAAAAACAAATCTGCTTTGCATTTTTACCCCAACCTCATTTCAACAAACTCAAGGGGGAAAAAAAAAACAGCCTGAATGAACAAAACACATCTACCAACTCAGAGGGAGGGTGGAGGATCACCACATCTGAGCCAGCTGCCCACGTGAAGGGTTTACAGTCGTACTCAGTGGGAGAGGGGCCAACTGCAACGACCGGGCAAACAGTTATATAACGGCAGAAAGTTCCAACGAAAATAGCGTTCGGCCTCATACCGCAGCTCGCATGAGAAGCTTCAAGGGCCACAGAAGCGAGTTTAAGTCCAGCCTGCCAAGGCTGCCAAACGAACGGAAAGGTGGTTTTCAGTCTCTTTAGACCGCCCTGACTAGTTCAAAGACATGTCGGCAAGCATCAAACAAAGGCTAGGTTTGCCCTTGTTTGTTCAAAAATGTGGGCCTTTCCTTTACTGGCCAGCATAAATGAAAGGGAACACGGTGGGTTGTCGCTTCAAGATTTTATCATCTATTCCATTTTTGTCTCTTTCTGCCTCATTTGCGGCTTTTTGCCGTATTTTGTATTTTTGTTAAGTCTGACATGCTGAGCACACCAAAATTTTGCTTTCATGCTGAGGGATTAAATCGGAACTCTGTCAGCTCAAGCATCCGCGACAGAAAGAAGAACCCAAATGACTGCTGTTGAATCTTCCCCTTTTGATTAACTGAGTGCTTGTTAAATGTAATGGGAGTAAAATTAGATGCAAATAGTTTTCAGACTCCTCATGCAGCAAGAGATCAAATGCTTTTAAGATGTTACATCAATTATAATGGGGGCTTAGATCTAAATTATTTATAAAGCTTCCTGTATATTCTGTTTGATAGCATAAAAGGGTGGAAAAAGGGGTGGGTGGACCCATCGTGAATGGAGGAGAGATAACAGTTCAAACGCACGCAAATCGACAAGCTGGTGAGAAAACGGGCCAGTACGAACATGAGGAGGTGAGAAGAAATGAGCAATGCGCAGATTGGGAGAGCAGGGAGAAGGAAAGAAAAAAATGAAGGAGTGGAGCGTGGACAGAGGGAATAAATGCTAGAGTGCTGACACACAAAATAATAGCTAAGAAATCCAAAAGAAAAGAGGCTTGCATGCCTGACGTCAGGGTCAAACACAGAGCTCTCATTCTGCTCACACGTGTGTTGGAAATATACCTCCACATGCATCAATCAGTCTGTTGTAAAAGGTGTTGGAATATGGCTGCGGTCTCTGAGGATGTGAGCAGATCAGCCTGCTGAGCTGCTTCATGTCCTCAAATGTCATGCTGAACAGCGAGTCGGACTCCTCTTACCTCCTACAGCTACTCTGATCAATGCCACTTCCTGTGTGAGCCCCCTCTGAACTACAGCAGATGCAGATGCATGAGCTTTCACCCTGCCTGTCTGATCAGTTCAATAGACCACATCTGAACCCAGCCACTGCCTGACGCCGAACTGAAGGCTTCTCGGTAGTAAAGATTGTGCACCCGGGTCTGTCCAGTTTTGGGTTATGGTGTGGAGACCTTGCCTAAATGGTGGGAACCCACTAAGACTGGGCAGGGTAGGTTTACAGGGTGTTTTTTTTAAAGGTTACAATATGCAAATCAGAAGTAATGTATGGCAGGCCCGAAACCACGTTAACCTGGAAACTGTTAATATGTAGGAGAGCAAGGCTGCATTACCGATTCAGTTTTCTGACTGTCAACATTGATTCACGGACTAGATATGGAGCACATCTACTCCCACACCGGGTCTACAGAACCACACGCTTTTCATTCCAATAAAAACGAGCTTTGCAGCATTTCCCAAGGACACTAAAGAGATGAACGTATTTATGAAGACGGGTGTATGTGTGGGCCACAGCCATAGAGACAAAAAAACTACTCCAGAGCTGGACTGGTGGGGGAAAAAAACATAACCCCTCTGAGATTACATGAGATGAAAAAGGGACTTCTATCCATGGACAGTCCCATGGAAGCTGTGGATGCCACTGGAATCTGGATCATACTGGTCATCTGCTGACTTCTTGCCTGATTGGCACTGCTACATAATAACAAAAAACCTAACCAAGGAAACAGACGCAGTTACAGAGCAGAAGCTTTAAAAAACACAAGCTGATCCAGAACCACTAGGTCGGTTTTGCGTTTGGCCACCCGTCTGCCTAATTGTCTTCTCCGTTTTCCACCAGAGACGCTTTCAAATGTTGCTGCAGGGGAGGACACACAGTGGGAGTAGCCAGGGCAGCTATGCAAATGGAGTCTTGCCCTGCATCACGGAACAACATCCATGACGATCCTTCTAACGATCCCATGAAAGCCAATCTCTGAAAGCCAGCAAACCCCACCTGTGTGCGTGTTTACCCCCAGCCGGGCCCAGGTTTTTTTTTTTTTAAAGCTAGGGTACGACTCATTCAAATGTGCTGACAAAAGGGGGGATTCGCACTAAGCGGGGGTCCCCTCCTGACAGCCTCCTCTGGGTTAGGGCGGTAGCTGAGGCAGGGAGGGAGCACAGTAGTCAAACTAAGGAGGAGACCCTGAGAGGAAAAGACACATTCCAGCAGGCATACCTGTTCCAACCACCTCCAACTGATCCCCCAAAAAGGGCAGGGAGGCTGAAGATAAGCATTCAGCCATGCCCACACTGCAGATGCAAGCCCAGCATGCTAATACTCCGCACATCTGTACAGAGCTCACGTGCACTGCACAGGAAAGGACGGGTCCTAGACTCATCCCTCTTTGTTTGTTTTTTTTTACCAGCAGCACGCCTTATAAATAAACAGGCCAATCTAGGATGACAGTGGGGGTACAGACTCCTTAATGGGATTCCTAATTTCGAGAAGGAAATACCAGGCGCTGCTGGTGGACGGAAGTGGAGCCTTTGCGGGCGCGCGCAGAGGCTCCGGTCTAATGTGAAGTCTGTGATGGCGTATAACGTTCGGCCGTGACAGGTCAACCAGCTTGCTTCGGCTTGTGGAAAGCCTCTCCATCCAGTATTTCACGTCGAGCCAAGCCAGAAAAGCTAGGGTTGTGGGGGGAGGGGGGGAGGTAGAGGGGGGAGAAGAACACGAGCACGCGCTTGTAGTATTCAACGGAGGACGAACGGCACCGCTTCGGCATCAAGTGTCCGGGTACCGGACGTTCGTGTTGTTTAGGAAGGGCGGGGAACTGTCCCCCACACGCGACAGAATTTCACCCATAGAGATAAAAAAAAAAATAAATGGAGAAAATAAAACAGCGTTGCTTGGGCTTCCTTCGGAACACTCGTTTCCCAATCACTTGTTACCTTGCGTTTTCTGGTCTCAGCGGAACCACTCCACACGAAACACTGATAAATGAGCCTCAGGTTCTGCTTCCAGTTGTCCACTTTGAAGCCGTTGACATGGGGGCAGCCTGCGGGACTCATGGTAGTCACAGCATCCGGCTTCCCTGTCCCGACAGCGACGAAACCTGTTCAAATTCCCCGAACTCTGCCCCAGTCCAAGTGGGCTCTCTGGCTAGCTCGCCAGATTCGTTATCCTCCGAATGCTGCGTTCTTGGCTAACTGGACATGTCCTAGTTGCACTAGCTGTGATACGCGCAGCAGTGAACATCAAACGCAACTTTGCAGTATGACTCTTGCCGAGATAAATATAATTCATCCATGTGAATTAAATATCGTGAAGCACACGAACTTGTCAATATTCGCTAAATTACATGTTAGCACACAGGCTAAAGTTGGTTAGCATTGGAATTTCAACAGTAGCTTACACGGTGAGTGTCATCAAAGCCCACCTCCTTCACAGCGGTGGACCAATGAGAACCGAGTTCTTGGTGTGATTGACGTACTTTTCAACAGCCCTGTTTTGTTTATATCCCGCCTCTACGGAACGGGTACTGTGTCATGATTGGTGGCATTTTTCTGCAAACCACATCCGCCTGTATGAAGATGTTCATTGGCTAAAACATGAAGCAGCTTCACTCCATCAATCAAGAATTCCGATTGACAATCAAGAGAGAATGGCTGTTCAAATAGATCTTACAGAGGAAGAACCCAAAGCTATATTCTTAAACAATTTATTATTAACAGATCCACAATCGCAAAGCTCAAACTCCCAAATGACATGACAGTTTGGTTTCATCCGTTGACTTCACTGCTTGTAATTACAAGCTGTCAAAACAGTTTTATATACAGTGCTCTAGCGACCTCTAGTGGATCTGAACTAAAAACAAAACATAAAAAAATTAAAAGAAAAAAACAGACAAAAAAAACAAAAAACAAAACAGTGCACCAGATTGTGAACGACGTCTCCACAGTGCCAAGCTTGGTCAAGGGCATATCCATGTGTTCAGTTTTGCAATTGACGATATCTACATTCTAACCAAGGAGTGAGAAGGAAACGATCATCTCAGCCTTTACAAATGTAGATAATCAGATTTATTCCTCGTCAGCCATAGATGTTCTACCTCATACGTAATGCCCTCCAGTTACAGCCATCATGCAGCAGAACCAAAACAAACAGTGAGATTATTCACACATGTTTGGAACAAAGAAGTCCAGTTTTTATTGTTGTGGTTTCTGTCAATGTAGCAGTGGAGCTCCGACCTGAACATTGATAAATAAAACACTGACAAAATTGTAATTTTTTTTTTCCTTTTCTGTAAGGATCTTTTGTTATCCTTAAGACACGGTGAAGTAAGAATAACCAAATTTATCATCATTCCACACAATTAGATTTTCCTTGACCAATGTCCTTATGCAACAGAATGTTTGTTTTCCTCTTAAAAAAATCCAACTCATCCTGGGAAGAACGTGTTGGCTGACTGCAGCGTTCTTTCCCTGTCCAAGGCCCCTCAGGAATAACTTGATGTTTTGCTACCAACATCGTCTTCCTGCGATCCCATACTCTGAAGAACACAAGGAGAGGATTTTCCTTGTTAAAATCCAATCTATTAGCATCCATGTGAGACTAAATACAGAAGCTGAAATGTTGATAAACTCACCTTCTGCACAAATTGTGGGTTTACTGTAATTTCTTGATCCATAGACTTTAGTTTCTCATCCAGCTCTATACATTTCAACATCTGAAAACAAACAAACAAAGACATGTGGCGTCTTCGGTTACAAACAAAGAAAAAAGGAAGAAAGAAAGGGGGAAGCATGAATAAGATATTCCTCCAGTATCACCTCTTGGTCAATTTTGTGGAGCATTGCTGGGTTGTTGTATTTTTCAGGGTTATCGTGGAAGCAGACCATACCATCCTTTTGGTTAATACTAGCGTAGATCTCACCATCTTCAATCTGAAAGGAGAATAAGGAAGAGTGTTATCTGGATACGAGTCCAGGTCAACAGTAAACAACAGTAAGAGGATTTAGGATCCAAGGTCAACGAAAGGAGTAAACCAAATGCAAAAGGCGAAAATAAACTAAACAAAACACCCGTCATTAGCAACATCGGTTTGAATCCCCTTTTATTCTTTCTGGTGTTGTAGCACTAAAAGACGGACTCACCATGTGTAAGACGTATTTCTCTGCTTCTTGTGGACCCGAAAGCTGCACTCTACTCGCCATGTCTTGCAAAGACAACGTCAGGAAAGTCTGCGGGGGGGTGTAAGAAAAAGAAAGTGAGATCAAACACGCAGAGGCTCTGAAGGAGGCGTTTACGGAGCTTCACTGGGAGTTCCCCGATAGCACACAAACTCAAGTCCTCAGTGTCAGCAAATCATGGTGGACAGCACAGAAGTAAAGCCTCGCTTATAGTCCAAATACTATGTCAGCTTCCTTCCTTTTACTCTACAACTCTGAACTGTTCTGTGCATATGGACATAGCTAGACTAATGTTGCCATAATCACATTATCCATGAACCACTGGCAGGAACCATGCAGATCTGACCCCACACATGGGTTTAGAACTGTTGGGACTGACTCTGCTGGAAGATGGGAAAAACCCAAAGTTAGACAGAATGTGTTACAAACGCATCAAATCCCCAAATCCTTCCCATTCTTGTTTTTTCTCTGACAACAAAAGACGGATGGGGCATATTTTCCTCACTTACTCAATACTCAAAGTATTCACTTGATCGATTCTATGCTTTGAAAAAAAAAATAAAACAAACAAAAACTGGCTTTTCTTCTGGAAAAAACGGTAAGAAAAAAAATACAACACACATTTAAAATCTTAAAGCCCCCTCATAACACGCACTCTGTAGGCCTCAGCGCAGCCCCTTGAACTGGACAAAGAGCTGGTGGCATGAATTGCACGGATTTTGACTGACACCTTCATTTTGCCCTACTTCTGTTTTGTTTTTTTCTTTTCTGCTGCACGTGACACGTGACGGAGCGCACCTTCGTTAGCCTCTGGATGTTCTTCTTGTAGAGGGAGGAGAGGCACTGCTTGACCAGGCCTGTGTTGTTGTCTCGTGTGAAGGTCTCGCTGTGTTTGCTGACCAGGTTGCGCAGCTCCGCTGGGTTGTTGGTGGTGTAAACCTGAGCTAACTCGTGATATGCGTTGCTCAGGGGCTGTGGGTGAAAAAAGGGAAAATGGATTAACAAAGAATAGAAAAACAAAAAGGTTAGCATTATACGATTATACGGTTTGCATTATATGATTAATTAATTTGAGTAAGCCAGGGAGAAAGATGTGACTGGGTAAAATAAAACTTTTTTTTTTCTTCCCCTTCAGAGGTGTGAGCCAAACAGGCCAAACAGGACGCACTAAGTTTGCTGAGGTGTGCGGGACGGCTGTCACATCGATATCCGGGAAGCATTCAAACCAGGAATCATTATTTGTACCTTAGAAGACAACTTCTGAAACTCTACTAGAGATTGTTGCTGGGCCTAACAAAGAACATGCCGTTTCACTCCGCTGGAACTCTTTTGAATTTGTATAGTGAGTTACAGAAAACTATGCAGAATATAAAAAACACATTTTTTTAAAAAGCTGATGCCATATAACAATTAAACAGGATTTTTCTTTGCACCACTTCAACATCAAACTAAACAAAAGCATACTTATCAACTTTCTCATCCAGTGACAAAAAGATTTCCCACAGAAAAACGATGCTCTGTTTATGCACGTCATAATGCTCCTAAATGGACGTATGAATAGCCGACTACATTCAGTCGGTTTTAGCCATTTTTGGGATGTTGGGTGGTCATTGCTCAGCAGTGAGGCCTACAGTTTTGGGGCAGGAACTACAAACATTGTACATTTCGGCAAAACCGAGCGATGGCCGTACCTTGATGAACCTCCCTACTATCTGTGAGGTGTATTTGGGCAGCTGCTGCACTTTGCCGTGGAGAATGAGTGACACTAGAATGTATTTTTTATAGGCTTCCAACATGATGTGGCTCACTGCCATGGCTGGAGTGGTTATTGCCTGTGGAGGAAAAGTGAAGGAGAAGTTACAATTTAAAAAAAAAAAAGTAAAAAATACATTTAAAAGAATGCAGGGTTGCATGTCAAAACCAGAATTTACTTTTTCTACCCAAGCTAACGAACCCCCAAATGGCTCCATTTACCTGTTCATAAAAATACAGTGCTCTTTCAAAGTTTTTCAGGCCCGTGTAGATCATGCCGCCATAGTAGTAGTAACATAAAAAGTGCTTTGCGTCGTAGGCTCCGTTCTCTTTGCAGATGTCCATCATGTCCATCTCCAAGAAGGGCAGGGCGGGCTTGAAGCACTTTGCTAACAAGCACAGCTACAAGGGAGCAAAAACAACAACAAAAAAGGGAGGGTGACTTCCACAGCAAAGGGCCAGGCCCAGGCTAAAGCAGCTCATCAGCACACTCTTTTCAGGGATACTCCGGATCATTCTGGTAATCCTAAGGTTTGAGCCCTAACGGTTTTATTATTTTTATTAAAGTTTGTTCATTTCTGCCATCTTAAAAGTCGATCCTTGGTCTGATTACTTTCATTCTTCAACACAGTTTGAACCGTTATAGACAAACTCTTTCTTTAAGCAGTCTTCAGGCTTCTTATAGGACATCCCAAAGCTCTTCTTGGGATGTTGGAGAGTTTATGTCATTTTTCAAAAGTTTTAAAATGAATCCGTAAAAGTGGAAAATGTGATTAAATATTACTTAAAATGAAGCCCACAATGCTAAGTATCTAAGTCTAAATGAGTCATAGCTCAGAGTGCCTCGGGATATGGTCAGGTACAAGGACCAGTTTAAAGATGTGGGGGAAAAAAACAATTACAAATCCTCAGAAAGCTCAGAGAATAAACTCTTATAACTGCTTTTAAAGATTACAAGGAGGTAAGTCTCCAAAAGAAAATATAGGAAAAATTCCGAGGCAATAGGATGGCCTTTTTTATTCAGCGAGGAAAGGAGGGATCAGACGGAGGGACTCACCTGACACAGGTCTGCATGAACTGAGGTAAGTTGGTTTGTGTTCATCTGCATTTTGTCTATTGCCTGTTTTAAGATGACGACACCCCTCAATGGCTGGAATGGGAGGAGAACAGGAATTATTCAGCCGCAGCTTCTCAGTAACATCCAAACAAACTGGGAGCTGACAGCAGTCTGTGCCGCACTTTAAAATTCAGTCAAATATTTATCTCCGAGTGAAAGCAGGAAAACATGGCTGAGCTCGATGGACGTGATGGAGAGACACGCATGGTGGGGGGGGGGGCAATGATTAAATATGAAAGCGCAAAAAAATAAACAAGATAGGAAAAAATAAACAACTTGCAGCATGGTGGACTTTTAAAAGGTGGCAGAGATGCAAGGCAAAACCAACAAGACATCAAAGCTAACTGCTACAGAGGAAGGAAGCGGCAGTGGTTTTGCTCAGTCCTCTCAGAGAGCAGAGGCTCGGGGCACGCAGGGTCGGATTTATCACAGCTTTGTCCGCTCGTGCTGCAGAGTTTTTATACACACACACACACATCTGCACTGATGACGGGCTAAAAAAGAAAAAAACAACTGCTGTTGGAGCTGGGAGTTATAAATCATTGAGTCGGGAGCCTGTTTCTGAGAGCAAAGACGCTCATACATGCATCTAAAAAGAGAGGCTAAATTTAATGGATGCTGAAAATGTACAAACCAAAGCAGGACTGAATAAGAGGCTCAAAATAAAGCGCACCCATAAATGAAATCAGTCTAACGTAGAGAGAGAGAAAGAAAGAAAGAAAGAAAGAAAGAAAGAAAGAAAGAAAAACCCAATTCTGGATTATTGGCTGGCATTTAAAACCTCTCTGCAAACTGCTGCAAACACTGCTGTCTGGAAATCATGAATAAATAAAAAAAGCTGTTTTTGAACTGTGAGTTGGTCTTACCTGTTTCCTCTCCACGAGGGCGTTTGTCAACTGGTGGCAGAGACCAGCAACTGTGAGAGGAGACAGGGTTAGGGAAAAGTTTCAAAACAAAACCATGAGCCACTTTCTGGATCCATGGCCAGTTACTCATTGTCCTACACTGCACATGGGTGTGCAGGGGGCCTGTAGCTGGAAGTGCATTTTCTGCTAAACAGAGGAAGTTTAAAAAAAAAGTCACATTCTGTTTTAGGTTCTAATCAAAGCATATTTCAGTCTCAAGAGGCACAAAACCTGACAAAGAACTTGGGTCAGACTTGTGTTTTGTCTGGCCCACACTGAAGCCAACAGAAGCATTGGTGTGTCCAGGTTGTCTGGCTGAGTGCGTTTGGGGATAGAATTCTCCACAGAAAAGGAGGTTAGCCGTCTAATAAAGTGTTTTTCTTTCCATAAGTGGGATATGACTTGGCACAGCTAATCACCACAAACATAGAAACGTTTTGACGGCGAGCTGTGTTGGAACGACCTCCACGCCATCGGCGTTAAGGAAAGGAACAAAACTCCGACACAGCGTGAGCTGTGACGCACGGTCCCCACCGGCTCAATAGATAGAACCAGGCAAGAGTCAATAAATCAAGTCCAGTCACTGTGACGGTTCGCTTCTTTTGACTCTCCGGCTGTTTCGTGTTTAGACTCAAAAGCTTGTCTGTCAAATTAAATCTGCATCATGAGGACTGGTGTTTTGGACGACTGATGTTTGCCGACACATTTACGCTCCGCACATAGATAAAAAAAAAAAGAAAAAACACCAATCAGAGTGACCACAGTCTCCAACGGACCTGACGGGAATTGGAGGTGTTCGATCAGCGTAAACGTATCGACTAGGGAGAACAGGAGGTGTCAATGGGAACCGGCGGTTCCTTACAAAGTAGAAAAAAAACAGGCCAGACAGCTATTAACTGACGCTTCTGAGAAGCCTTTTTCTCATATGGGTGTGTTGAGTCTACAGATTTCAGAAGTCACCCATTAACACATACGACTTAAGAGGTGATGAAGAAAAAACTCAATTCGGCACCGTTACTAAACTAAACCGTTTGCAATCCATTAGAGGCTTTGATCGTCAGAGAAAACCTGTGGAGAATATAAGCAGTAAAGCACTTGAATATGATAAAAGAGTGGGAATGGCCGGGCCATAAACACGCCTCCATAGACCAGCAAAGAAACCTGTGATTGTTCATTCAGGAGCGGATATAAGACGAGTGCAGGGAGCAGCTGATGGGGAGTACTTACAAGTGTCTGTTGCATATCTGATGTGCTCCCCATTGCAGGTGCTGATGAAGAGCTGGACTTGGGAGAAGAGCGTCTCAAAATCTGGGATGTTTGGCATGGAGAACTTCACAAATCTGGAAAGAAAGAGGAGAAGAAGGTCAGCAGAGTCCTTCAGTGCAACAATGAGGCCATTATGTTGGCCTATTTCAATTTTTAAAAAAGCACAAAAAAATCTTCATCATAGCTGGGTTTCTGACATGAAAACAACTAAATGCTTTCTTTCTTTTTAGTGTCAAGCGCATATTATGTGGAACATGAAAAAAAAACAGGAAAACATAAATGGAGGCTAAAGTTCACTGAGAATATCTCTTGCAATCATTTCAAACTAACATAAGAATTTTTTTAATTCCAATAATGGGAAACTTTTCACCAACATATGTGCGTTTCTATTTAAAACAAAAGCTTACATTTCCAGTGCTACAGTTCATGGAATTTCTACCCTCACACAGGTGTGATAAGTTGTCTGAGTTTGCATTGTGATCATCGCAGATTTTCCATGCAACAGGCGAGAGACCCAGATGAGAAAAAACTACTGGACAGTGAAGGTATAAAGCCCTTTTCAGGCATGATCATGTGCTAAATTAACAGCTTCTTTTGTCAAAAAGGGCAACTTTAGGGTTGATCTCGCTCACAAGCTGTATTGTGTGGGACCGCTTAAGACTTGGTTGTCACAAGTTCCTCACAACAACATGTCATGTAGCCATGATAATTCATATCAGCGTGCCAGGCATGCACTGGTTTTGTGTGGAGAACACAGAGGGCATGGAAGTCTAGATCTAAAAATATCAATGCAGTGCACTGTTCAGCTTGTTGGACGGTGAGTGTAACTCATCCGAGGGTTTAATTTTCCCACAGTCGAAGCACCAGTTGTTCTCAACGGGAAAAAAAAATTGATATTTTAATTCACACACACTTTAATACACCACTTCTAAGGGTTATGCGATACTTTTCTATGCCACACGCATTGACACACTGACAGAAAGCTCAACATGAGGTCGGGAGAAACCAACTCTCCTCCTGAGCTACAACTGTGCTGGTTTGTACAACAGTTTTCTCATGATATCAAATGCTTTGCTTTTATGTAAAGCAAAATGTATCAAAACTATCAGCCCAACAACTAAACAAAACAGTGATGGACGGAAGCGGTGGGAAAATATTGCGACATGATCAAACTGGGGTAGAATCTACACTTCTAAGTTAGTTTTTACTTTCAAAAACAAAAGTATATGTATGGCAACTAATCGTAAATAGTTAAAACCATGTGGGAAGGTGTGGAGTCGGCCCCATTCACTCAGCTACACGGTCATAACTAAATGCCCAAGAGTCCCTTGAACAGATTTCAGTTTAAGAGAGCAGTACCAATCAAGGTAGAGGGGGCTAAACTGGAACCAACAGGCAAAGCAGAGCAGGAATAAGTGGATGGATATCGGTTAACGCAGAGGTAGAGACTTAGGAGAGCAAACTTACAGCACGGCCAACACTCCGAGGGAGTGCTCCTGGATGTCCAAGGCCCCCAGCACTGTGTCCAGGTGGGACAGATTTTTGGCCAGCAGCTCCCCGCTCTTGTTGATCAACTCACACAGCTGAGTCATCTGGCCTGGAGGAGTGAGGGACAAGGTGGACAAACAGTCAGAAAAACTGAGCCACTCTGTCTTTATTTTATGCACTTAAGATCCTTGAAGGAGCGCAACAGATGTCAAAGAGCTGTTCAACTTCAATTTTCTGCAGCGTACATGAAAACTGCTAACACTGATTAGGTTTGTGAAACTAAAGTATTTAAGCCCCACCAACTGTGTGATCATAAAATCAGATTAATATGGCTGATAAAAAAAACAAGGTCTGGGACACATAAATCCTGTGACACAAAAAAAGAACAAAAACACAATTGCAACAATAAGAGTTAAAAAAAGTAGAATAAAAACCAGTCTCACGCGATTATTAGCAATGACAAAGTTACCTAAGATACATAAGCAGAAAGTAGCTATTCTTCTCATACTGATTATGGTGACATACTTTCCTCACATGTCATAATTGACAAAATGATCATTTTCATAGCCACGGATAGCAAGCGGATATCCTTTAAGGGCACAGTAGTCAAAGTGACCCACATAATTGCTTACAAACATCGCACTGTTGAATATTTCAATCCAAATCGGTCGCTCAACTGTCCTGTCAAGGCCTTGCACTGGGGGTAAAGCCAGTGGGATTGACGGATGACTTTAAGCCAATAATATTCGATAATTCACTTCTCCAGCCAATCATATAGGTCATGGGCGGGACTACCGGTAGGCAGTCCCCAGAAATTATTTTCTAGATCAAAACCAAAAAGTATAATTTTGACAATTTGTTTGATGGGCTACAAAATCCGCGGTTACTCTTTGCTTCAGTTTACACTTGGACACCTTCGGATAATAGTTTAAAGCACTCTTGTAGTCAGACAAAGTCATTTTGCGGTATGTTTACATGATAAAGCAAAAAGAGGGCTATGACCAGTTTGGCTGCCAAGCTATCGGTAAGGCATTGGATAGCATATGCTAGCTAAGTAGCTAATACTTCCCTTTCTGATGAGTTTACCAACCGTACCTTGAGCGGAGAGCTGCCGCACATTGTTCACAAACTGCTCCAAGGCTGAAGCCATTATTTCCTGGGTCCAAAGTGGAGGTAATTTGCACTGTTTTTCATTCAAACGTCAGAAACAACTCCGTCCGGACTGAGACAGGGGGCCACACAGCCGCCACTGATGTGAAGCTATCGCGAGATCATAAGAGGAGAACAACCTACTCGGAGACCGAGGAACCGTCGTTCATATTCTTAAAGGGCCAGGTGCATTATTTTCCTCCCAGAATAAGAAATTAATTAGGCAACGTTTTCAGCTTGTTCATATTAAATATATTTAAAAGGAACCTTAAACCTGTTGAAAACATGAATATTCTATTGAGCAACAGATATCCATTCCAGAAGGATAACTTGTTTTTGTATTTCAAGGGACTAAAACATACAGGAACTGACGTACTGTTTGCCGGGTTTTAACAAAGATGTTTTTTTAAGGTAAGAGGTCGTGCATGAAAGGTTTTTAAAGCATCAATTAAAAGCGTCTGACTGTACTTTTCCTCACTTCTGTTGAGTGTAGCTCTGTAACAAGCTGAGTGAAATGGTCTCGTTGGTAAAAATGTATTTTAATTGAATGCATTATCAGGCATAGTTTTAAACGCATAGCTTTAACTACAACTACTCCGAGAAAAGAGATGTCGAATTGTAATTAACAACTGTATACTTTAATGTTCATGTAACAAGTACACATTTTGAAACCATCCATTGGATACTTAAATATAACTCTTCAATCTATTATTATTAAATGCGGAAAGACTGTGTTTAGTTTTGTTTGGCATAGGTAGATCCCATAATTTAGTTTAGGCGCAAAGAAATATAAACTAGTTATAAAGTACCCTCGACAAAGAATATCCTCAACATAAGCCAAAGTACTTCGACACTTTATTCCAGAAATGGAAAGAAAGCCAAACAGCACAGAGTGATACATCTTCATTTCTAAAGATCTTTGTTTTAAAGTAGGATTGCAGTACAATTTGTTCTCAACGATAAGTGCTTGTCCCTTTGCTTCAGCAGAATCAGAGCAGTCCACCAGCTCTTTTCAATTTATAGTGCTTCTACAGCAACTACTTCATAAGTTGCGAGTCGGCTAGAAAGCAGCTGCCTGGCAGCTAACGGCCTGAAATCCGCCAGTGAAGTGTCACATTTGACCTGGCCGCCTCTCGCTAGCCTGACACCTAGCCACCGACGGCTAGCTCAGCCGCTACAGGACACTGGAGAAACGCCCAGTGTAAATATTTAGCCTGTCAGTTCAATAAAACTTTATCGGCAAACTAAAAAAAATAAAACTGTCAACGTCTTGTGCCAACCAAGTTTAAACTGTCACAGTGTTTCTCCTAAGTTCTTGACTCCCATGCGAACTCCGTCCACTCGTTCGTTCCACGAGCCGTTTGGAGGGAGGCAGTGACCGTAAATGATACTGCTACGCAACGCCGGCCCACGGTCAACAACAATGATACTGTCCGTGACATCACGCCTACTCGGAAGAGGGAAAAGTTTGCTCCGTGATCCGTTTAAGAGGATTTGCATAGACATGTCGTCCTCCGCCGCTCCGGGTAAGCGACTGCGGGTCCTGGTCGACATGGACGGGGTGCTGGCGGACTTCGAGGGGGGCTTCCTGAAGAAGTACCGGAGCAGGTACCCGCACGAGCCCCACATCAGCCTGGAGGACCGGAGGGGCTTTTGGGTTTCGGCGCAGTACGGACGGCTGAGGAGCGACCTGTGTGTAAGTGAAAGTGCGTTTAAAAAAAAACCACAACAACGGATTCAAATCTCATTTTCACAAACAAATGTTGTGGCTTCTCTGGTGAGGCGGGGTGTAATTAAATACATAATTCATTCACGATTATGCTAAGGGGCAAACGGTGGCTACTGTCATCCCTACTGGAGACAGAATGTGACCGAATACTTTCAGAAAGTTACTTTCAGATGTATTTAAATCAAGTCAAACGTAACTAAATGTATTCACTATTGATTTTTTACATTTTATGTTGTTTATACGTATGACCTGTACTTTCTTTTTTAAAATGGTGTCATTTCAAAGCCTATTCCCTGTAAAATCACCTCATTCATGATTAATAATATGTAATGTGGATATCACAGTTTTAGGTATTTTGCTTGCGGCTACTTCATAGTACATGAGCGCTCCTACAAAGACACAGATGGGCGTCATCATTGCGTTTATGCACATGTGTGTTTGATTCCAGGATAAAGCCATCAGCATCTGGGAGTCTAAGGGTTTCTTCATCGACCTGGAGCCTCTGCCTGGAGGAGTGCAGGCCGTCAAAGAGATGGCCCAGATGGATAAGTGAGTCTTGAATATGCATTTTTTTGGAGGATAAGCGCTTCTGAACACTGCTGGCGGGCAAATGTTTGGGTCATCCGGGGGATGGCGGTTCAGCGTCTGTGTGCAAACGTCTACAGTGTTCCATGGCCCTTTGATTCCCTAATTAATCTTAATAGTATTAGAAATGTGTCAACCACAATCTGCGAAGCAGCTCTAAGAAGTCCTAAAGAACTAAACTCCTCTGGTATTTCCTAAAGGCTGCGTATATTGGAGATGCTTCTTTCTGTGCTTCGGGGTCAGAGGTGGTTTTAACATATGGCCATCCCAAAAGTCAACCCTCTGTTCAGCCAACCACACTTGGACAAAAGATGCTTCCTGACTCTTCTCGGACAATCCGCCCTCTCCCAGCGGACAGCCGTCCTCTGATCTGCCTCCCACCCATGTTCCTGTTTCTTCCTGTTGTTGTTTTCTCCAAACAATGAGGCTAACAGAACCCCAAACAAAAGTCTGATCCGAAGTCCACCAGTCTGAAAGCCCTCGTTCCCGTTGTCTGTGTTGAGGGTTTCTGTCCCGGACTAGAATGAGCGACAAAGGTCAATCCTGGTGGAGTCCAGCACGCACGCATGCTTCCCGCATCTATGAGCACAACCACCTACAGAAAGCATCTGAGTGTCACTACACTCTATTAAAAGAGTAACCAGGGATGCTTCCCCCCCCATTCATTCAACTCTCACTGTCCAAAGCTGAATTGTGTTCACCCGGCTGGGAGGGATAAAGTTACGCTGGAGATTGTGGGATCTTTGAGGCTTCGTGTGTGGGTCATTGAAAGCATCACTGTCCCCACCATCCACTATCTGCAGATAGCAGGCTGAGTTTGTGTTTCCTCTTCAGATGGATAGAAAAACGACCTCCCTTGAGCCTTAAGATTATGATTTGCAGTCTAAAGGCATGGAACTTTTGGAACTTTTTTCCTCTCCCGATCTTTTTGTTTTCTTTGAATGGGAAGCTCCGCCGTTTGAAGCAGCTTGGATGTTTTATGTACTTTATGTCAGCAACTATCCCCTCCCTGATCCTGTTTCTCTATTCCCCCCCCACAGCACGGACGTCTTTATTTGCACCAGTCCTATTAAACATTACCAGCACTGCCCGTATGAGAAGGTAAGCCATCTGTCCGTCAGCCAGCCAGATGAATTTTCCCTGAATCTGTTGTTTTTGTTTTCCCTCATAGTCCCGTCTGCTCTGTGTGTGTGTGTGTGTGTGTGTGTCTCTGTGTGTGTGTGTTCTTTCCAGTATGCCTGGGTGGAGAAGCATCTGGGCTGTGACTTTCTGGAGCATGTCATCCTGACCAGAGATAAGACGCTAATCAGCGGTGACATCCTCATAGATGACAAGCCTGATATTGAAGGTAAACCCCGCGTGGGAGATCCTACTCCATAATCCTATACCCTTTTCTTCCAACTATAGTCACCGTTTCCTACATCTGTTATTACAGAACGCATACGGCAATCCATGATGGCCAGCCTTATTTTTTTTTTCTCTAAAAAACAAAAAACGTCTGTATTTCACTAATTACGGCAAAAAACCTGTCTCCACCTCACATGCTTTAAAACCATCCTGTGAATATAGGTGTAATTAAGATGTCATTATTTAAAATAGAATGATAATGAGCTGTCAAAATGTCACTTCTCTGGTAGATCCTACAGCTTTAAGAAGGATATCAGATATTTCCAAACAAATGTAAGGCTTTCCTCAGCCCACCCTTCTGTCACCACTGTAGACACTTTGGTCAAAGACCAAAAAAAAGTTATTTTATGTTTTGCAAGGGTTAATTTATATTTAATATCTTCCAGTAATAATTATTCCACAAAAATTCAGACATCCACAAAGACTGGAAGTCTCCTGCTGCTAACTTCCAAAATGTCCCTCAGATGCTTAAATTTTCCACCTGCTCTCGTTCATAACTTCAGAACACCTGCATGGATACCTTATTTTAGGCACTTCGGGGGAAAATTGCAAGAATATTAATCAGGTTAATGAAGTATCAGCTTGGAATGTTCTTTTTTTTTTTATTAAATGAAAATAATTTTAAAAATGTGATTAAACATTTTTTCCAGATATATTTCGGAGCGGAAACAAAGTAAGGCCCTAAGTCCTTTGACTGTTTGTGGCCTCAGTGTCATGCGTAACATATTTATTACAGCTACTTGTCCCAGTTGTAAGCCTGAAACACAAACATTTACTCACGATCATAACTTAAATTAAGTTAAGGGGAAAAAACTAAACGTAAAATACAGATCATAATCCGCCTTTTTTGTGAGCACCCCCGGGTGTTTTTGGAGTACAGAATGCCTTTGAAAAGGTTCTCTAAGTCCAAATCCAAACCTTTTTCCTTCCACTTCTCTGAGGATTAAGAACACTTATTAGTTAATGCAGTTAATGAAAACGAATAGTGTTTGCTTTTCCCCGCCTTTAAAGGGTAAGGGGCTAAAGAATTTTAAATTCTGTGCAAAGAGCCCCAGGAGGATTTAACCTCTTACCTGGAAAATGCCTCTCTGTAGATCTGCTTGTGTAAAAAGCAGGCCGGTGCTCTTGGCCTTTTTTTGTCGGTGGATGCAGGCGCAGCTGTTCCCAAACAGCCAATCGCAGCGGATCAGTCTCCCCGGTTGATCCAATCAAGCTGCCAGAAATAAGAGTCACTGATTGCCGCTGATGAGTAAAGGCTGGAGTCCAAAACAGACGAGCAAGTCAAAAATCAGATTGATTGTTTCCCTTTAAACCTCCCTAACCCCTGATGGCATCCCGCAGGTCATCTTATCATGTCATTTCATTAAAGATGACAAGTGGCTGCTAATCAGCGTCCTTTTGGAGCTCCTGGTCCTGAGCCAGCTTTCACCAGGCCTAACCTTCCTCATTTCAGCTGCTAAACGGAGCATCTTAGCAATCAGAGTATCAGAGCCAGGCCTGTGATTGGAGTATTTTAAAGAGTAAGCGCGGCACCAAAAATAAAACCGCGTTTTCTAAAAATAAGAGTTCAAATCGGCAGCGAGAGGGAAACAGGCGGGGGCTGAGAGGAGGGAAAGTGGCGTGATGCTCTGTGCCCGTGGTTTGTGTCCCCTTTAGGCGTGGAGCCCAACCCGGCGTGGGAGCACGTCCTCTTCACGGCCTGCCACAACAAACACCTGTCCGTCCACCCCCCCCGGAGACGCCTCCTCTCCTGGTCAGACGACTGGCGGGCCATCCTGCAGAGCAAACGGCAATGAGAGACCCCCGTCAACCCGACCAGCCACAAGATGGCGCCGCCACGCCACCGGTAAAGCCCGGCCGCCCGCGCCTCCGCTGATTTCAAACAAGGGGCAGAACGATTATCGGCTGGTTCGAGAGGGAAGGACACGAGCGCATCGGCTCATTTACGTAATTTCACTGAAGTCAACTAAATCTGAGCGGGTTTATTTTTGAGCCACTCCAGCCGCTCCACCTGAGACATTTCAATCCCGGAGGGGCCAATCAGCAGCTGCGAAAGTGTCAGTGATTCACAGCACTGCACACAAAAATAGCTCCTTCTGGTGGCCCTTTTGCAAAGTAAACGGATAGAAATGTCCTGTCTGCTCTGGTTTTTATCCAACTGACAAAAGGCTACTGGTGCTCCCCCGCTCTCCCTTTTTTTTTGTTTTGTTCTGAGTCTAATCTCTCTTTCTACTCTTCACAATGATCTATGCACCTGGCTTCCACTTCACGGACACAGGACCCATGGACCCTGGCATCGATGAGAAAAAAAAAAAACATACCTCCACATGCATGCTGCCAAAAATATCAAAAGTGTGTGAATTAGCCACTCAAAACGGGTTTCTGCTGTTTTTTTTTAATGGTTCTAATCCAGTTCAATAAATATTTTTATGTTTTTTAATAGAGACAAAAAGAGTATTAACAAGTACCTCATTTCAGTTCTTTTTTTCTAACAGTAGCTTGTTTGCATACATATTTAAAATGGAGGGGGGATTCAAATCTGAGGTAAAAGAGATCTTGTACAGCTCAATAAGAATCTTTTTCTTTTTTTAAGCATGCGATTTATGAGTTGATGTGCATCTTCACAGAAAGGATACGAAAGATTAGTGTTCTGTCTGTGGATGTTTAGCAGGTGGTAGCACAGGTCTGAGTAAATCTGTCAAGCAGAAGATTTGTTTCCTTTTTTCCACTACAGGTATCTAAACGCGCGTAAAGGAACTGGACTTTAATGTAAAAATGAACTTGTGTTCTTTTTCCATGGTTGGAATGTTTTAATGGTTGTTCCACCAAGATTAAAACGGTGAGAAAGAAGCATTTTTCGTTGCCTTTTTGTTGTTTTTTTGTTTTTTTGTCGTATGCCTCATCAAAGGACAAAGAAATATTATTTTGAAGTGGTTGGAAACTCTCTCCCTCCCCGCGGGGGACATCCTGGCATCAGTACAAAGTTTCACCAAACCCCATGAACACGTCTCTTTGTCCTTTCCATCCTCCACTCTGGCCGCTGATTATTATCAGTTATGAAAACATTAAATAACAGTTTTGGTGAAAGCGGTTTTCCAGGGCGCACTTTCCATTGTGTCGTTTGGCCAGGGGGGGGGGTTGTTATGCAGGAGAAACCTTTTGTCCGTCTAATTACAGGATTAAGACCTGGCTTTTTGATTTCAGCTCATAAAGTTTGTTCCAAAGCCAGTTTTAATGGAGGAGGGTTAAAAACCTGGGCAACTTTTTCATTAAGAATTTCTACAAAAGAATGGGAACTGAAAAATCCACCTGGAAGGGTGTTGCGAACACAAGGAGAACAATGGTCAACAGGTCAGATGTCCCTGAATAAAAGTCCACAGAAAAAAAAAAAATTCTTGAGCTCCCGGAAAAGTTAAAAAGACAAATAGCTGCCATGATTCATCATAAGCTGCTGGAACTGAAAAGTTAAACATTTCAGTAAAACCAGTTGCCCCCCTGGGATGGGAAAGGAAATAAATACAAGTTTGGGGCTGTGTAAACCCTGGACAAGAATGAATCAAACAAGTGAAGGGTTTTATAGAAGAAGTCCATAGAAGAAGTGTAATTTTAGGAAGTGTCATGGAACCAGAGCACCTAAAGCTAAAGTGCACATTCTCTGTGACCCATCGTACTTTCTTAGCCTCCATTAACTGGGTCAGCTCTTTCCAAAACTGCTGGAAGCATGTGATTGCCTTTCCGTTGTCTGCTTTTCTGTTAAGATGAGGCTGCGTAACAGTAAAAGAAAAAAGAAAAAGAAAAAAAAAGCCAGTCACCCGTTGAATAAACAACTCGTGTGAGTAACCTGGATGTCAGCCTCCTTTTGTTTTTGTTACCGGACCGTTCCTGTTGATGATGCGGAAGCTTTTTTTGTCCCGGAGTGGCTCCTTTTGAGGTTCGAAGTTCAAACCAGGCCAAAAAAAAAAGAGAGAAAACGGTTCCTTTAGTAAAGACTTTCAAAAAAGGGCAAAGATGAGGACACATCCTCAGCTATGACTGGAACTGAGGATGTGTCCTCATCTTTGTCCTTTTTGGAAATATTGACTTAACATAAATAGACCTTTTGACTTATTATCATATATTATTGACTTATGGAAGCGATATTGACCTATAATAAATGCTCATAATCAAATTTCAAATTTGGATTATTGCTTTTTTATCTACATTTTCCTTTTATGACAGATAATTAACAATTTAGCCATGATCTGACCAAAGTTTATTCATTGTATATATAATGAGGAATCTATGTCTGGAAATTATTACATAAAATCAGAGAGCAGAAGTCCAAAAAGAGCAGAAAAACTTTCACCCTACTGTCTTTCCATCTGCTGGGACGGCTCCACACTGGCCGTAGTGGGTGTTTCTGTCACAGCGGAGGCTTCCTGTGTGGGCTCCAACCGACCGGACCCTCCAAAGTCCAGGTCATTCCAAGCTAAAATCAAGATGAGGTGAAGAGGTGTCAAAGATGAGGGGAGGGGGAAAAACTGAGAGCGAGGAGGAGGAAGTTTAAAAGTTGAAGTTCTTTCAGTCTTTAAAAATGATGAGAACATGGCAGGAATTGTGGAAACGTTCCTCCCAGACATGGCTGAACTGTTAGTGAGATTAAAAATGAGCGTTTGACGGTTTAAATCTGAACATACTACGACAAACTGTTGGCTTTGAGCTCTTCTGGGTTTATCTTTGTATTCAAAACGTGTATTTATGCATAAAAAAGTTCTTCGCTGTTCTGTCCTGAAGGTCCAAATGACTCGATTACAAAATGTTAATAAAGATATAAGCGTTTGCGAAGATACAAACCATTTTATCTTAGATTGTACGACACTAGTGTCTGAAAGAGTTTACTATCAGGGCCAATAGTTCGAAATTGAAAGACAAATAAAGTCTTGTGAAGATGGACAAAGATGGGGACACGTCCTCAGCCACAGTCATATTAAGTCAACAAAACTGGAATCATATCGACTTAATATATAATTGACTTATTAATAAAATGACGTATTGGAGTCACGTTGACCTATTTTAAATCGTCATATTTAGTCATATTTCAGTCAAAATATAGTCATATTTAGTCAAAATATAGGGGGTAACCTTGCCTGTAGCCTTCTCTCTCAGAGAACTATGAGCAAGGCTACCCATATATCTTTAATCAGGACAGTATACAGTTACATGTCACAGTTACTTTAGATTTGTCTTAAATAAATACATTTTTATGCGCGTCGTTATTCACTTCACATCTGTTTCAATTTAAGTTCCGTTCTAAAAAGAAGGGCATCCGTTTGACGTCACCCTCCTCTGAGCCTCCTGGGATACCCTTCTCTGTTTTCCCTCCACTGACCTCCCAGCAAACGGTCCTCTCAGGCTTTTCTTCCACCAGTCTTGGGGATTAGAAGAGTGTAGATTGATCCGTTGGCTGTGTTGGCTATAACGGAGGAACGGAGTGGGCACACGGGGCTTTGAGAGGGAGTAGAGGTAGATGGTCAAAAACCCCTGTAGGCCTGCATCTGTGATTTGGAGGCCAAACCAAAAAAGGTTTGACAGGACAGTGCGGGTTATTTCTGCATCAAACACAGAAAACAAACCCGAGACTCTTTGGTTTCCTGGTATCCCTGAGATGTGTCCTACTGGGTCCTACAGTAGTTCCGGTCAGATCCTTTTTCGAGGCGGGAATCTACATTGGATCCTTTCTTACACAAGAAAATGCAAATGCAGAGAGCTTCCTGACTCCCTTTGACTCAGGTTAGCTGGGTCATTCATCTGCCTTGATCGGAGGGGAAACTCACTGTGGAGTAAATCATCTATCTATGTATAGGCGTACTGGAAACGTGCGCCATCATTTCCGCAACTTTGACTCAGCGTGATCGAGTTAGAAACAGAAGAAAGAAAAAAAGATCCCGAGAGAGTTTATGAAAGTGTCATTGTGATTGCGAGCCTCATGGCTGAAAGCGTAAATATTTGGTGGCCAAATATGAATCCCCAAAAAAGACCTGCACAGAGCAGGAGCCGGGCACACTGGACGGTGTCCTAAACCGGCCTGCACTGGACGTTGAGTAGAAGTTTGCGTCAGAGTTTGGAGGAAATCCCTAAGGGGGAATAAACCGGGGGGGCAGGGGGCAAGAATTTGTTCCTGAGGATTACCGCAGAGAGCGCATGGGAGCGGACTAACGCGTGAAAACGCAACAGAACAGCATGTGGTGTTTGTTCAGAGCGGACATGGTGGACGAGACGTCCCATTGTGGTCAGAGTTGTGTTAGAGTTAGCCTAAAGACATCATCAGCCACGTGCTGCCAATGAGAGTTAATAATTACAGTGTTTCTGCTTGCTCCCGGGGATTTATTTAGATAAAAAATTAGGACGCTCGGCGATGTGCGGCACAACTGGAAAAATCTGGAGCTACAGGAATAAGCACATAAAACCAAATAGAGCTTTTTTCCTGTTTGCTTTCTTGTTTTTGTTCCCCTCATTACAGACCTGCAGCGACCCCCCCCCACCCCCCACCCCCACTGTTCTGTCCTGTGGGCCTGTTTGTATTGCTCTGCTTCCGTTCGGCTAATTGCTTTATGGGAGAGCAAGTGTGCTGTAAGACGGGATCCAGACGGGATCGGATGTCATCTCAGCTCATGTAACCTGGAGAGTTTTTTTTTCTTTTTTTTTTTTTTTCTTTTTCAAGGCAGCGTTTGGCAGGATGATTCCCGGTTTTGCTCAATGAAATGACTCCTGTATTTAGCAGCAGCTGTGCTTGTTTTCAGCCAAACAGTGGACGATTGTTGTCATCATCTCATGCCTTGACAATTTTTTAAATATTTTTAGAAACCGTATGTATGAACACTAGTACTTCCTTATTAATACTACTTGTTGAGAACCTCCACGTTTCACATGAAAAGTCCAGTGGCTCACTGGACGCTCATCATGACAGATATCCTGAGACTTAAGTTCTTATTTGGTTGGAACAATAAAACTTTCGATTCAGGGAGTTTTGTCCGTGGTTTAAACTGACACTGATGAGCTAGTAAAATCACAGGATCACACTAATGTTTCAAATATGCCACATGTGAACTTTTAGAATCAGCCTACAACCTTCCAAAGGGGTCCACAGATTAGGATAGACTTCTGTAAGTGTGTTAACACTTAATTGTTTATCGCCTCAAAAGAGAAAATAAAGACTGGGCCCATAGAAAATGACACTGTCACTTCAGAGCTGATGCAATTCGCAGCCACCAGCCCTCACTGAGACAGAACGTGTTTATGATCACAGTTTATATCACAGTGCTCGCGCTGGAAACCGGAACGTCTCTGCATATTTGCCGGAGTTCGAAACGTTTTATTGTCTTGTGTACAAAGCCGATCAATACGAGCTGATTCAGAAAGCTACAATGACTTAGCTGGAAGGCAGCTGCCGGACAAAGTGGGCTGGTTGGCTTCTACTTTATGACAACTAAAGAGAACCCGACTTCCTGTGTCATCCTGCTGCCAGTAATATGACGACGAAAAAATAAAACACTTAAGTCATACCTTTCAAATGTCAAAGGACATAAACTGATCAAATTATGCATTCAACGGTGCCATTAGCAGCTATTCACTGAATGAAAGTGGGCTTTCTAATTCCACGCCCACTTTGTTGTTGGGATGCTTTCGGACTATAGAACTCCTGGACTTACTAGTTCAATGACCCAACAAAAGGGTCGGGTTAAGAGTTAGGTTTAGGATTTGTATTAGGTGTATTCAAAACTGCAAAAAGCACAAACGCGCCACTTCAAATAGACCGAGGAGGAAAGAATATACTATTTCAAATGTAAAACTTCCAATATACAATAAGAGATATTTAGTATGTGAACTGTAGCAAATTAAATGTAAATGCATCATGTACGAAGATGAAAACTACGCTTTGTGACTTCTGAATGATCGCTAACTGATAGAAATCTCAATCTCTACAGAGACAATATCATTTTTCAAACAATAGAGTGGCCAATGTTACGAGCGCACCGCTGACCCCTTCAATGACCCCAGACTTTGGCCTGGATCTGTGAAAACGGTGCGTTCACTGGCTCCCGCATGCACCTGCATGTGTGCACGGCTCAGCCTTCACGTGAATCTGACTC